GGCGGCCCTTCGCCTTTTCTGGGCATCTCCTCAGGGAACAGGTCGCGGCCGCTCCTGTCGAGGATGATCCGTGCCTGGCCGGGGCGAGCACACCACAGATGCACGAGGCAATCCTCGCAGAACCAGGTGGCGCCCCACCTCGTGTTGGCGAAGGCTCGGGCGCGCGCGTTGGGGGTGGGAATGCCGCCGCGCAGCTGCAGCTGCACTTCCTTTCTGGGGCGGGAGATAAACGCGCCCTGGGGGGCGCCCCCGCGCGGCCACTGCTTCAGTGGAACGTCGCTCGGGCAACGATCCCATTGGCACTTCCAAAAGCCGCAGCTGGGATTCCCGTCGAACCTGTCGTCTATGGCGCGGCGCGCGGGAACGGCGGCGCATGCGTGAGCGGGGTCGCGCGGGCCCGTCGGGGCCAGCGGGGGGCCTGCCAGTGAGGTGCTGTCTTGGACAGGGAAGGCGGGCGGACCCCCTGGCAGGGGGCTAGTGGGGCAGCGCAGGCCAGCGCGTTGTGGGTCGAGGGTGGGTTGGTGCGCCGCCGCCTTGCCGACGGCCGGCGCGGGCAATCCCGCGGCCGGCAGGTTGGCGCGCCAGCGCTGGTGGCAATGCCGGCGACGGCCAACTCCGCGGCGGCAGAATTCCAAGCGGCCGGCAGCAAACGCGTTCTTGACTGCCTCGTCCACCCGCGTCCCTCCATTGTCCTTCTTGTGTCTGAAGGGGCCTTTCCAGCGCCGGTCGCAGAAGGCGCGGGGGGTGCTCATGCTCAGTTTGAAGTGATCGTCTGTCAGGCTGATGCCGGGGGGGAGAGAACGGCCCCAGGCGGCGCGCTTGTCGGGGGGGGGGGGGGGGGGGCGAAGAGGTCCTTTCCGGCCCCCGACAGTCCGCCCCCCAGGCATTGCAGGCCGGTGGCCTGGCGGCCCCCCGGGGGGAGACCCACGCTGGACCTGAAGAGGGCCTGCGAGAGGGCGCGGCCAGGGCCTCCAGGGTGGGCTTCAGGGCAAAGTGATTGCGGGGGGCATTCCTCCATGGCGCGCCGGCTTTGCCCCCCTGCGCTCCGGGGTGGCGGCGTGCCGCGGCGGCCAGCCGAGGGCGCGCCTCGATGAAGGCCTCTGGGCGTCCGTGGACCCCGCGGAAGTTTGCGCCGACGAGGTTGTAGGCTCGGCCGAAGCTGTCCCGCGCCAGAATGCTTGAGTGATTCTAGGGAGTGGCCTCGAGGGTGTCACCGATGTGGCCGGGGTTGCCGCTGGGCGCCAGGTTGGGCCTGGGCCCCCAGATCAAGAGGAGCATCAGTACCAGGGTGGCGTTCGCCCTTGCGCGCTGGATGGTGGCCCCGCTGCTGTCCTCGAGTAGGCTGCGGGATCCTTCGGGCGGCCGATCTTGCTGGTCGGTGAGGGCTGCCAGGTGCTGCAGGGACGGGGCGCCCTGGTGGCGACTGCACCCGCGTGTGCTAGTGCTCCACGCCGCTGGGGGATGCCTGACAGTGCCTTCGGGGGGGTTGTCAGCGCGCCAGTCCCTTCGAGCGCTGGGCCCCCCCCCCGCCGGAGGGGGGGGGCGGTCTTCTCCGGTGGCTCGCTCGGGGGCAATGCTCGGGTGAAGTCCTGCCACGTGCAGTAGACCTGCCCGCGCTGCTGCGTAGAGCGTAGACAACGGTCGGGGGCGTCGATGCTCAGCTCGCTGCTGAACAGGTAGCCGTCGTGACTGATCAGCTTTCGGCACTGCTCGTAGAGATCTGCTGGCGAGCCCCCTTGTCCTGGCAGGATATGCGCGTAGTATAGGACGGGCGCCAGGGCGGCTTCGTTCAAGACCGCCGTGGCCGTCTCCAGCAACTCTTCGCTCAGCCTATCCCATCTGTGCCCAGGGGGGCGGGGAGTCACGCGGCGTCTGAAAGCATAGAGCTCGCTGCTCGGCTAGCCGCCGCGCCTTACTATCGTCGCTGCAACGCTCCTGCTCTGCCGAAAGCCGGGCTTGCTCTTCCTGGGAGTGGGCCGGGGCGCGCGCGCTTTCTGGCGCCTCCCGTACTTGGGCGGGGGAGAAGCTGACGGCCTCGCATGGCGATCCGCGCCTGCCTGGGTCGCCCTCGAAGCAGGTCCAGAGTCCAGCGGCCTCTGCCCATTCTGCGAGCAGGTGCAGATGGGACTCGGTCTCGGCATCGGCCATCCGCGCGTTCGGCACGATGACTGCCACCTCCTGCGCCCCCGAGTAAAGGCAGCGTTGTTGCGATGGGGATCGTCGATGGAGCCCCACTGCCCAGTGGAGTTCGAGCGGGCGGTGCTAGGATAACCACATCCGCCCCGTCGCCTTGGCTGCTGCCAGCGGTAGGCACGCTGATTGGGCCCGGGTCAACCAAGCGAGGGCACCTTGCCTCGACCCCGCCAAAGGCAAGCTTAAGGCCATTGGGTCCCGTGGGGGGGACGCGTTTGACGACATTTCCTGCGGGGATGGGGGGGGGGGGGGGGGGGGGGGGGCAGCCTCTTGGGCCACCTTGCCCGGGGCGCCCTTGAGGAGTGGG